TGGTTAATGGATGGTTGGCACTTTACATCGATTGGAATAATGTTGATGTATGTTATATATATATGTTTATTTATATGGGGGTCATTGCCCTTTATATGTTAATGGAAGGAATAGGATGCGAGGGCGGAGTATGGGGGGCAATGACCCATGTTTACTTGTTAAGTTATTATTATGATTATTATTGTTATTATTATTGTTTGCTAAATAAAGCTGTGGACATATTTCCCCATATCCTCTAGTATGTGCGTTATTGGGTTGGGTTATGGGGTGGTTGTCCTGGATTCCAACTGCCCAAAATGGCGACTATACACCTGTCATGTGTGAGATGTAAATTCATGCTGCCTGCGGTTACTTTATTACTTACGTATACATTTTATTATACAAGCTACTGTAATGATAGCATAAAAAAAATATATATATATATATATAGAGAGAGAGAGACCCCTTGGACTGTAAGGAAGGGGAGGCATGACTGCTGCCACTAAGTAAGGGGTGTGGATTTATGGGATACATTTGTGGCAACAAGGGGGACAGTATAAGTATGTGTGCAAGGGGAGGGTACTCACCATTCCCAGAAAGAAAGGCTGGAACAGGTTTTCCCTTACCTCACCTTCTTTCCATATTCTTAAAAAAAAAAAAAAAAAAGCTTTGTAAGGAGTGTATTACCTGTAGTGTCTTACCTGATTGCTTTGATTACTTAAGATGGCTGCAGTGTCTAAGGATGCCCTGATTGGGATGCTACAGGCTTACCTGTCTTCTCATGGAGCTGGCTCTCGGGCTGAGGTGATGGCTGGTCTGCCCCAGGAGGTGAGAGGAGAGAACCTGCAGGAGGCAGAGAGCCCATCACTGGCGAGTGGTAGGAGGCCTAGGCGGTCTAAGCCTCCTACTCGTCTTTCCCCAAGCCCAGTGAGACGAGGTGGCAGTGAGGCGGCTGGTCCGGTCGGGAGACTCACAAGGATCGTTGATGGCGTGGTGAGCGGTGGATCCCGGGCTGCCAGGAGGTGGCCGCGGGCTGCAAGGAGGTCGGTGAGTCGGGTCCAAGATGGCGGAGTGCGGGAAGAGCGCTCGAGGAGTCCCCCTTCTTTTCCGGGCGCACTGGAAATGACGTGCGCACGCAGGACGGCTGGACAAAGCGTGGTGGCGCCGGCAGTGATATGCGACGCGCCCGTGATGATGTCACGTGCGCATACATCCCGGAAGTGAGGGAAATTCATCGCATGCAGCCTCGGGAGAGCTGGAAAGGAGCTGCAGTATGTGACAGGAGGCACCGGAGAGGCACTGTGGCGGGGGGCAGGCCCCTGGCTGAGGAAGGCCCTGGAGGAAGACCGAGAATGGCCACTACCAGCAGGTAGTGGATCCAGCAGCTGGCGGGGGGGGGCGGCTGCCAGCTGACCCACAGGAGTCGGAGTCAGGATCACATGATTCAGATGAGCAGGACCACCAGGGAGATCATGGCGACTGCCCTGGAGAGCGGGCTAACGTGGCAGCTCCTGTCAGCAGTGAGTTGGCCTGCGCTAGCGCTTGGGGTAGCCTAGCTGGGGGGCTTCAGGGGGTTCAAATCAGGATCACGGGGACTTGCTGCGCCTGCTTAGGGAGGTTGTAGATAAGTTGCCACCCACTGCGCACAGCGAGACCCATAGGGAGGTTGTAGATAGGTCCACTGCACACAGCGAGACCCATAGGGGCCTGGGGGTGCAGGCCCCAGTAACGCCATCATGGGGAGGGGTATTCGGCCCTCCGCTACCAGGCTGTGAATTGTCTCCTTTGGGCATGCATGTCCCAGTCGAGACATGTGATAAGATTTTAAAGGGAGAGTTTAAAGGTTTCCTCTCGCTGGTCCCTCCTGAGAAGGATTCCATGGATAGGCCACGTCGTGGCGATCCCCAGGACACAGAGAAGAGCAAGCAACTCTCACGGATGTTTGGGAATTGGTTGCAAGGTTTTGCCGTGTTCGCCAGTATCCTAACCAGGCGTTTTCCGGTGCACCAGCAGTTCCGCCAAAAGATGTCGGCGTGTCCCAGGTTAGATTTCAGTACCCAGGATGGTAGCCTATGGTTGCTGATAATGACCCCCATTCGTCCATTGCCCTTTTCAGGAGCAGCCGGGGCTCCCTCTGGTGCACCGGCTGGTCAGAAAAAAAGGAGTGTGAGCCACTGCAGGTGGTACTCCTCCTGCCGGTTTAAGCATGAGTGCTCACATTGTGGAGGAGCTCACCCACAATGCGTTGCTTTAAGAAGGCAAGGCAGTCTGTGCTTAAGCCAGGGTGGCGGGATGACGGGTCAAAGGGGGAAGACTCCAGGGAGCGTGCCAAGGATGTTGCCGTGGCTCGAGCCTTACCCTAGACGCCACAACGGGGTGGTTCTGGTGGAAAGGTTCGGATCCTCTTTGTTTTTTCTCCGGAGCCGCACTTGGCTGACAATCTACTGTCAGTCAAGGGCAAGGAGGCTCTGTTGGGCGAAAAGTTGTCTAAGGAGACAGTGCTGGGTCGCATGGCTGGGCCATTCGATTTTTTTCCCCCTTTCCTAACTTGCGGGTGTCCCCTTTGGAGGAAAAAGGAGGCTGTCTCTTTTCGGATGATTCATCACTTGTCCTACCCGGCTAGGAGTTCAGTGAATGATGACATTGACAGAGAGTTCAGCAGGGTCCGGTATGCAGGGGCGTTTTACCCGCGAGGCAAACAAGGCATTTGCCTTGGGCGGCATTTTTCAGGGGGCGGCAAAAAAAGCCGCCCCCCAAATGCCCAGGGCAAATGTCTTGTTAGCCTCGCGGCTAACAGACATGCCAGGCGCCATTGGCGAGCGGCTAGGCGGCTGACGAGGGAGCTTTTCCTGTGAGCTGACTGCTCAGCTCCCTCACGCGCCGGCTGCACAGTGAGGCTGGGAGCCGGGATATGACGTCATCAACCGGCTCCCAGCCTCACTCTGCGGCGCGCGAGGGAGCTGAGCAGTCAGCTCACAGGAAAAGCTCCCTCGCCAGCCGCCCGCCCGCCAATGCCGTCCACCCAGCAGCCACTGGACCACCAGGGAGATAGAGAACCCCTTCCCTCCCCAGCACTCCCAAAGGTAAGGAGGCTGGAGGGGGGGAGGTTTAAAAAGTATATGTATTAATGTGAGTGTGTGTGTCTGTTAGTGTGTTTGTGTGTCTGTTAGTGTGTTTGTGTGTCTGTTAGTGTGTGTGTCTGTTAGTGTGTGTGTCTGTTAGTGTGTGTGTCTGTTAGTGTGTCTGTGAGTGAGTGTGTGTGTCTGTTAGTGAGTGTGTCTCTGCTAGTGTGTGTGTGTATTTAGATGGCGGGGGAAGGGATGGGAGGGGTCGCGCGCGCAGGGGAGAAGGGATGGGAGGGGGGTCGCGCGCGCAGGGGGGGTTGGGGTGCGCGCAGGGGGGGGTGGGGGGCGCCTGAGTTTTGTCCTGCCTAGGGCAGCACAAAACCAGGATACACCACTGCCGGTATGCCTCTTTTGATCGGGCTCTGTCGCTGGTTAGAAAAGCTGGAGTAGGGGCACTCATGGCAAAATCTGATATTTAATCGGCCTTCCGGTTATTGCCGGCTCACCCGGAATGTTTTCACCTCTGGGTTGTCAGTTTCAAGGGTCATATTTTTCTTTTATGTGCCTTCCCATGGGTTGTTGTGCCATTTCCTGTTCCTATTTCGAAATGTTTGCTTCATTTTTGGAATGGGTAGTTGTTCAGTTCTCTGGTATTGCGTCAGTTACGCATAATCTCGATGATTTTCTGTTTGTGAGTCCTCGGGACGGAATTGAGTGTGCCCAGTTATTGTTGGCGTTCCGTGCAGTGGCGCACGTTTGGAGTGCCTGTGGCAGAGCAGAAGACAAAAGGGCCGCTTACCAGATTGTCGTTTCGTGTTATAGAAATCGACTCAATTTGCATGATTTTTTGCCTGCCCGACGAGAAATTAGTGGTTCTGTTGAGGATAGTAGATCTGGTAAAAGGGGCTAGGAAGGTCCAGCTCAGAGCATTACAGGTGTTGCTTGGTCATCTCGCGTTCGCTTGTCGCGTACTACCCATGGGTCGGGCCTTCTGTCGACGCCTGTCGCTGGCGACGGTTGGAATCAGGGAGCCGCACCATTACATCAGAGTCACAAGCAAGCTGCGAGTGGACTTATAGGTATGCAGTTCCTTCCTAGGCAAGTATAATGGGCGGTCGTGCTGGTTGCAAGAAGCGGTGTCTAATTCTGAGTTGGATCTCTTCACTGATGCGTCTTGTTTAGTTGGGTTCGGGGCCTTCTTTAGGGGCAAGTGGTGTGCAGCAGCGTGGCCTCCAGAATGGCGTGAGTTAGACGTTATGCGTAATCTTACTTTCCTGGAACCTTTCCCCATAGTGGTGGCTCTGGCATTGTGGGGTGAGGACCTGCGGGATTGGGTGGTGGTGGTTTCACACAGACAATATGAGTGTTGTCCATGTGATTAACCGATCGTCTTCTGCGTCTCCTCCTGTTTTGGTTTTCTTGCAACATCTGGTGTTGCTTAGTTTGCAATTTAATGTGTGGATGCAGGCCAGGCATGTCCCGGGGGAGCTGAACGTGGTAGCTGACTCTCTTTCTCGGTTTCAGTGGGACCGGTTTCGGGAGTCGGCGCCAGAAGCGGATCGCGAGGGTCTTCGCTGCTCTTCCGTCTGTGTATCACTGGGAGAGAGTCTGCTGTTTCAGGTGGAATTCTCCTTTTGCTTCTTTGGTGCGCTTCGGGTGGGGGAACTGGTGGCCCCTTCCCGGCGGGCGATTTCCCCCATTACTGCTGTCTGATGTCCACTGGTCTGATATGTTTGTGACAGCGGGGGGCATGTGGCTGCGGGTGCGGCGTACTGGTGGGGTGTTGTGCCCGGTTCGGCTGTTTGGTCAGTATCTGTCTATTCGGCCGTCATCTGTGGCTTTGCTGGTTCATGCGGATGGGTCTCCGTTGACGCGTTTTCAGTTCGCATCGATGCTGGGTAAGGTGTTGCAGTATTGTGGTCGGGATCCAACCAGTTTCTCTCCTCATTCATTTAGGATCGGAGCAGCCACTCAGGCTAGTTTTTCGGGATATTCGGGGTCACAGGTGCAGTGCTTGGGTAGATGGTCATCTCGTAGGTATCAGCTGTACGTGCGGCGTCATTTACTGTAACTTGTCCTCTGATTTAGGGTGTTCTTCCCGGTATGTTTGGATTGTAGGACACTCTTTCATCTTTTGGGCAACTCGACCGGCAGAGTCACATTCCTATGGTCAAAATTTGGGGATCCCAGCCGAGTTAGCAAGGGTTCGTTGAAGGGGTATCCATTATTATTTGGCAATGACCCCAATTTGTTAATTTATGATATAATTAAAATAAAGCTGGGGACTATATTTCCAACAGAAAAGCTGGTGTCTGTGTCTTTTTAAAAAGGTTTGGGTGTGGGTTATAGTACATGCCGGATAACGACTGTGCACATGTCAAGTTTATCTCCAATCATGCACTTAGATGTAGCAGCCAAGCTAATGACCACAACCCTTATGTAACTCATAAAAGCACCACCCGCCAGGGCCGGACTGGCCCACCGGGATACCAGGAAATTTCCCGGTGGGCCGTCGGCAGCTGGGGCTGGGCAGGCAGCTGGCTCACCTGCAGCCGCAGAGGGAGCTCGTTAGGCGGCCGCGGGGGGAGCTGGCTGTTCTGTCTCTACTCCCCCTCTCCAGCGCACAAGAAAGAGACCGGGGCCGGAATATGACGTCATATTCCGGCCCCGGTCTCATTAAGCGGCACGCTGGGGAGGGGGAGCAGAGACAGAACAGCCAGCTCCCCCTGCGGCTGCCAGAACAGCCAACTTCTCCTGCGGCCGCCATCAGAGCTCCCCACAGGTAGACATTGTGTGTGTCAGTGTGTGTGTGTCTGTGTCATTTGTGTGTGTGTGTGTGTGTCTGTGTCATTTGTGTGTGTGTGTCTTGTGTCATTTGTGTGTGTGTGTCTTGTCGTGTGTGTGTCTTGTCGTGTGTGTGCGTCTTGTGTCATTTGTGTGTCTGTGTCATGGTGTGTGTTTGTCTGTGTCATTGTGTGTGTCTGTGTGTCTATGTCTGTCATGGTGTGTGCGTCTGTGTCATGGTGTGTGTGTGTCTGTGTGTCATGCAATGTGTGTCTGTGTCATGGTGTGTGTCTGTGTCATGGTGTGTGTATCTCTGACGGTCGTGGTGTGCATGTCTGTCTGTGTCACGGTGTGTGTCTGTGTGTCACGGTGTGCGTCTGTGTGTCACGGTGTGTGTCTGTGTCATGGTGTGTGCGTCTGTCTGTGTAACGGTTTGTGCGTGTGTGTTTGTCATGGTGTGTCTGTCTGTGTCATGTAATGTGTGTCTGTCTGTATCACGGTGTGTGTGTCTGTCACGATCGCTCTGTGTTGTGGTGTGTGTCGTGTGTGTGTCTGTCTGTCATGGTATGTGTGTGTCTCTGTCATTGTGTGTGTCTGTCATGGGGTGTCTGTGTTTCTGTCTGTGTCACGGTGTGTGTCTGTCATGGTATGTGTGTGTGTATGTGTGTTTTACTCACCTTTTTTTTTTTCCCCACGTCATGCTGGTCTGCCCTCGACTGGCCCTGCTTCTACGGCTGAGATCATCAAGCTTGATGATCTCAGCCAATCCGCACTGACACAGGAAGCACCTCTAGTGACCGTCTGAGTGTCTGTCACTAGGAAGCAATGTAAACACTGCCTTTTCTCTAAAAAGTCAGTGTTTACATTGAAAAGCCTGCAGGGACAGGCTATAGACACCAGGGCCACTACATTAAGCTGTGTGTGTGTGCGCGCCTGCTAGTGAGTGGGCTTGCTTGTGTGCCTGCTACTGAGTGAGCTTGTGTTTTTAGTTTAATGACCTTATGTACATCAGTGAGACAGTTTGTCTATGAGGCTGTGTATCAATCAGCTTGTGTCAGTGAGATTGTCCGTCTGCATGTGAGTATGCTTACTGTATAATTAAAAATTTTACTCTGAAAGGACCAATATTTTATATTGGAAAAAGGTGTGTGTGTGTGTGTGTGTGTGTGTGTGTATGTGTGTGTATGTATGTGTGTGTATGTATGTGTGTGTATGTATGTGTATGTATATATATATATATATATATATATATATATATATATATAATCTCCAAAAAAATACCGGCACTCTAGGCTTTTCAATATTAGAAATTCTTTTAATCCAAATCCACCGTCAACGTTTCAGATCCCCATGGAGCTTTCATCAGGACCGGTATTTTTTTGGATATGTTATTACTGCAACCAGAGCACCAGGTACCATTGGATTTGGGTTGGAGTGCAGGAACTGGTTCTGTTTTTATTTATAATCAATCATCTAGGGTGTCAAGACATAGCCTTACATATTACATGCGACAATATATGGCGCAATGACTTATGGGGCTGGCATAGATTTTTTTTCCAGGGCTGCTTTGGAATCCCCAGTACCGACCCTGCCACCCACTAGGAATGTTTAACACCTGGGTAGGCCTATGCTTATTTGCAAACAATAGCTAATTAACCAACAATCTATGGCAAACACTTAGCTAATCAAATGCCTTGCCTTGTGCAATCAGTAACCTTTTCCTATAGAGTCTTACCTGTAACAGTAAAAAAGAAAAACTCTTAGACAGCTGAAGATTCTGTAAAACGTTCCAGAATATATCCAATCACACACTTGGTTGCTACATCTAAGTGCTGCTTCTAAGCTATATTCACAGAGACATATATACATACACTGGTACACTTAAGGACACATACCTTGACACACATACAAATACACACACTGACACACAGATGCACTTCCTCACGCACAGATACTTATCCTGACACACAGACATGCAGATACACAGACACACTAATGGCCATTGGCATGCTACTAAAAGTATCTTGTTATTTAACCCCTTAAGGACGGAGCCAAATGTACACGTTGTGAACAAAACAAAATGTAAACAAAACCTGGCATTTGCGCTACATGTCTGTCCAACCGTAATTCACCTCTTTCATAGTAAATGCACCCACCCTTATTATATATCATTTTATTCAGGGCTTTCATTTAATATCAAATAATTAGCTATGAAACATAATTTAATATGAAAAAAATGGGAGAAAATAAGATTTTTTTTTTAATTTTTTTAGTACTACATGACATTTTAACTGTCAATGTCATAATACTGTTTGCTTTTACTGCAATAAAATACACATATTTGTATTCAGCAAAGTCCCACGTGTAAAACAGTACCCTCTATGTACAGATTTTATGGCGTTTTGGGAAGTTACAGGGTCAAATATAGCACGTTACATTTGAAATTGAAATTCACCAGATTGGTTACGTTGCCTTTGGGACTTTATAGTAGCCAGGAATTAAATTTACACCCATAATGGCATACCATTTGCAATAGTAGACAACCCAAGGTATTGCAAATGGGGTATGTCCAGTCTTTTTTAGTAGCCATTTGGTCACAAACACTGGCCAAAGTTAGCGTTAGTATTTGTTTGTGTGTGAAAAATGCAAAAGCCAATTTTGGCCAGTGTTTGTGACTAAGTGGCTACTAAAAAAGACTGGACATACCCCAGTTGCAATACCTTTGGTTGTCTTCTTTTGCAAATGGTATGCCATCATAGGGGTAATTTTCATTCTTGTGCTACCAAAGGGTCTCAAAGGCAACGTAACCAATCTGGCGAATTTTAATGTGAAAAAAATGAAACACATGCCTTATATTTGACGCTGTAACTTTTGAAAACACCATAAAACCTTTACATGAGGGGTACTGTTGTACTCGGGAGACTTTGCTGAAAACAAATATGTGTTTCAAAACAGTAAAAAGTATTGCAGCAATAATATCGTCCATGTAAGTTCTGTTTGTGTGTGAAAAATGCAAAAAAAGTCACTTTTACTGGCGATATCATCGTTGTAATACATTTTACTGTTTTTTTGTTTTTTTTTGAATTCTTTATTTTTGGTCTGACGAAGAGGTCAACACAGAAATATGCAGGTGTACATATGCAAGTGACAGCGCAGTGTCGAACATTTTTACAGAATGAAAGTTGCATTGGTTATTTTAAACACTTTACCGACACTATATATACATTTTACTGTTTTAAAACACTAATATTTGTGTTTAGCGAAGTCTCCTGGGTAGAACAGTACCATCCCCATGTACAGGTTTTATGGTGTCTTGGAAAGTTATAGGGTTAAATATAGTGCTAGCAAATTAAATTCCCTTTACTTTCGGCATGGGTTGTCAGGCAGGTCCCGCTAATTGTAATTAATTAAGATACCTAATTATGTAAAAATATTACATAAATATATATATGTAGAATTAGTATATGTGTGTGTGTGTGTGTGTGTATGTGTATATATATATATATATATTTTTTTTTTTGGTATATATAGTGATATATACGTATATATTTATGTATATAGATATATATATTATTTCGTTCTACGTGTATTTTGATATAAATATATATTAATATCACAATACAGTTAGAACGAAATAACACACATCTATATATTTTTTAATTATTTATTTTTATTTTATTTAATTTAACATATTTACATATTTAATGTTTTTATATATATATATATATATATATATATATATATATATATATATATATATATATATATTTAATCAGTATCATATATATATATATATATATATATATATATTAATAGTAAAATACACCTAGACAGTATATGTGTGTGTATGTATATGTGTATATATATACTTAGATCATATATATATATATATATATATATATATATATATATATATATATATATATATATATATATATATATATATATATATATATATATTATTTTTTTTACACTTTTAACTTTTATTTAATTTTATTTCCAGCCAGCAGGGGGACTACCTGTCATTACAGGCAGCCCCCCTGCTGGCAATGCTGCAGCCAGCTATCCTGGCCATGTGATTGTGAGGTCCTCGCAAGGACCTCACTCTCACATGGCCAGGGGGCTGCCAGGAGGTCGCCAGGAGGTCGGACGTGCCGCGGGGGGCTCCCTGGGAGTCCCCCCAACCGTGATCGCCGGCGACCGGGTAAGTAATGAAAGACCGGAGGGCGTACTATTACGCCCGGCGGCGTTTAGAGCCGCTTAAAATAGGGCGTAATAGTACGCCCTCCGGTCTTAAGGGGTTAAATAGAATAAAATATATTTGAAATAGTGCACAGGTAAATTTTGGTGGGTTATATCTTGTTTATATGTGTTGTCTACCTTGGAATGTGTGAACAGGCATGTTAAAGGGTGGAGTTGGGGAGGGGCATGGGTGAGGTTTGGGGAGGGGCCATGTACGGAGCTTTAGGATAGGGTTACCAAATCATTTTGGAAAGTACAAAAAGGTTCAGGTACTCCAAAGTTCAGAAAAGGCAATTTATTGAAGCCCAATGTCACACATTCAATAAATTGACATTTCTGAACCTTGGAGTGCCTGAACCTTTTTGTACTTTCTACATACTGTTACTGGGACCTGGTGTTGAGTCCCAGGTTTGTTGCACCCTGGCTCAGAGTGATGGGATAGAGTGCAGTTCCATATTGTTTCTTCTAAACCAAATTATTTTGGGGTACAAACTTTGGTATTTTCTGGGTGGCCTGGACTGCTCGCCTCTCCACTGGTAATCCTCTGTGTGACCGGGCCCAGCACCTTCCAATATTATTATTTTATTATTTATATAGCAAATTCCCTAGTGCTCTACAATGGGTAATATATGCCTATGTGGGCCCTGGTGGCTTCAAAGAGGGGCCCAGGACACACTGAGATCCCCCTTCGGCACTCTTGCGAGCTGTGTTTGTAGAGCTTTGCTGCGGACTGCCATGGAAACGCTCCGCGACTCGCAATGCATGCCGGGCTCGTGTCAGAGGACTGACTGAGTTGGAAAACAGAGTGTGCTCTTTGCGCAACAAAAAGTTGAGCCAATGGACCACCAGGGAATCCGGTGTTTCCGTCTCACCTCCCCCCACTGGCTACAGGTAGAAGACAGGGAAGGGGCAGGGGCCCAAAATTTCTAATGACAGTCCTGCTTATTTTTAGTGAACAGCCCTGACTGTTTTTTTGGTTGGAGTAATCATTTGATTTAGGCTCACTTGCTGGAAACTACCGCTTGCAATAAAGAAATATATCAATAGAGGGTGCTGCCAGCAAAGCACCCAACTTACTGGGTCTACTCACATCTTCTGGTGCTTGGTCTGTCCTGAAAGCTGCTCTTATGTTTTTTTCCCCCTTTAGGACACATTGGCTGATGTGAAGACTCCAGCTGACCTGGTTGTTCTTCATGCCAGGCCTCTAGTATATAGACCAAAAGTACATCACATTTCACAGTATTTCTGAGAATGCTCTCAATGTTCCCTGTTTTGTACAGCCCACGTTGGCTGACTGGCAGATCTGTGTCAGAATGTCCTGTATGTTGACATGCTCGTGACGCACATTGTGTCATAAGCACGTCCTTCTCATTTCAGGTTCCATCCCTCCTTATATGTGGAGAGTTAGTGATATTAGGTTTGAATATACATTCATTACAAACAGTGAGTGTTAATATGTACATTAAAGGGAAACTTGTATTCCTAATACTACGCCTCCCCTCCCTGTCATATAATGGGTTAAAAACACTGTATTTACTTACCCGATCCTAGTGCCAATGTCCCTCAGTGCTCCGCCTCCTCCTCCGTCGGACGGTGGGGGCTAATGCGTAAGCACCGCGAGTACACTAAGCCCTCCCTATAGGAAAGTATGGAATCAATGCCTTCCTATGTTGAATTTACTGATGCTGGATGACCTCATGCAGAGCACGAGGAAGTCCAGCGTCAGTTAGGCAACCAAGTCGCCTAGCACGCAGGATGTCTCTAGTGGCTGTCTGGTAGACAATCAAGTGAGGTTGTCTCTGCAGTTTCAGAGAAACTCTGCCTGTTGCCTTAGTCACCCAGACTACACAGCCCCCACACAACTTCTGCTCATTGAAGTGGTCTGGGGGGAGTGAATGTTTGCAGCTGCATGGCTATGTGTACACATGCACTCACTTAATGGGACACTGGTGACCAATTGCAATGGTTTGTACTTGTGTGAGCATGTGTTTAACCCCTTAAAGACACATGACATGTCACGATTCCCTTTTATTCCAAATGTTTGGTCCTTAAAGGGTTAAAAAAGGTATGATACATGCGCACCATTATCCTCATTTATAAAGTTACAGAGGTTTCAAATCATGGTGGTTTTAATATCTTCGGGACCAGTTCCCACAAAGCTCAGTGCGCGCATGTAATTAAATGTGTTCACAACTGCAAATGACCCTGAAACAGCATATCAACACATACAGTGAAATTCCTCCTTCCTGGTGTCACGGTCATCGTAATGTGTATTGTCAGTGACACCTCCTGTTATCATAAATTAATATAATAATGAACTGCATTTCAATATGATTGTGGTAACAGCACTCTTTGGTGAGCAAAACTAAAACCAAAAACGTTTGATGCAAGAGCGTCATATTTGTTTGAGTGGAATAAGAACAAAACAAAGTACTCAGTCCCTACGAGAGTGCTTCATCAATAGCCTGTAGAGTCCTGGGCAGCTCTTTCATGTACTGTCCAACAGCATGGTTATGGTCTGTCTAGGAATACATGGTGCAGATGGGTTTAGGTTTGCCAGATTTACCATTAGTAAAAAAAGTGTGGCAGGGGGTATCTAAAATCAGCGTACCGGAAATTTCTACCGTAAAGCAAAAAAGCCCTATAACTTAAAAGGGCCTGGAAATTGCCCGGCCCAGCATTGCACCTTTGAGCTCTGGTGCTTAGCCGCAGGTTATGTCAGAATTTATGTGGACTCACAAGGACATATACATTGGGCCATCAGGGATAGCTATGTATCTCCCACCCCACCAGGGATAAGCCACACTATTTGTGGTTTTTATTTTAAATAATTATTTTTAATACTTTCTCCTCAGCAACTGTCTCCTCTATTAAAGCCACAAACCCCTTATTACAGTCCCTATAGCCCAACTACAGCTCCTGTCTCCCCACTACATCTCCCAACCCCTCATTACAGCCTATCCCCCCCACACACACACACTACATCCATACCTCCCACTACAAATACCCTATTTCCCACTGCAGCCCCTTTTCACCCTCTATATTCCCTATCCCCTCACTACTGCACCTATCTCTTAAAATACAACCCCTATTCCCTTACTACAAGCTCATTACAGCTCACACACACTACTGTCCTTCTCCCCCTCTACAAAATGTTATTGCCCACTACATCATCCATTCCCCAGCTAAAGCTTTCTCCCTCCAACTACAGGCCTTTCCTTCTCAAACTACAGCCAAAGGAGGCAAAACGAGTGCAGGGGGTCCAGAATCTTGCCCAGGCCCATTTTAATATTAAAAATGGCAACTGTATTTTCCATTACCCTCTAAACCTGAGCCCCAATGCTTCTTTAATGATACAATACTCCGTGCTGTAATCCTGTAACACTGAGTGCACCATTGGACCCCCACTTGGGGGATGTGTCACAGTAGATAGTGCTATAATGGTGCTGTTTTAAAAGAGGCACTGTTATAGCTTTTACGTAATGACGGAATTTGAAATTAGGGATGAAGTTTAAAATTGACTTCTAATGTGCTTAGGATTTTGTGGCCAGTTTGTCAAAACTTGATCTCAAAAATCATAACATATTGGATTTGTACATGTAGCTGTCCAAGAAATCAATATGTGGCAGTATTTATGATGATATGAAATAATTTATCCAGGATGGGTACACTTGGCTAGCACTAGTTTTCAAGTACATCCTGGAGTGTAGATATTGTTTCCCCAGGTGAATGGTATTAATTTTATTGAGTTTGGTAAGATGAAAGTTGAATAAAGCTTGCACTTGTAGCAGATCCTATAGATACTGTAGATGGAGCACTAGCCACCGAGATATCTCAGCAGCCGCGGTATAATGAACACTTGTAACAAAACAGATGAAATATTTCAGAAGACAGTCCAGTAAGAGAAAGTAGCATAATCCAGTTATAAAAAGGTATTAATAATTCAGGAACTTGTTTTGTTTTTTTATAAATCAATGTAACTCAAAGTTCCGCTTATATTATAAGAAGCAGTGTTGAAAGTGTATAATTTATGACGTACCTTAACCGGATACCAAAAAAATAAATAAATGGTATATTCCGCATGATGACTTGCATTCGGCTTGGTAACAAAGCTAGTACATTCTCTGAAACCCACAGCAACCAGTATATTAGCTGTTAACATTGCCGATGATCAGTAACAGGTTATTAGAAAACCCAGAATGAATCAAAACTGTATTAGGAAAATCCAGGGAACCAAAAAAGAAAAACCTTCCAGGGTCTGTGGAAGCTCTGGTTGATAGCACTTTGTCTGTTCAGTACTGGCTTCCGTGTAATTGCTTAAAGGGACACACGATTGAATGAGCAGAGTCTATATAGAGTCTGCAGAATTCACTGAGGTCCAATGAATGGCTAGAGAGCAAGCAGGAACGGGCAACAAAATCCATAAACCAAAGCGAGAATTCTCCATGCCCTCTGCTGCAGTTATGGATTGTGTCAAACAGGAATAATAAGTAGTTTGCATACAGTTTTATGTATGTGTTACAGCACTGCTAAGGACATGGAGCAGTGTGATCCAAGGCTGTGTACAACCTGCAAGTAACCTGCATAACCTAAAGAATGTGGTCTAATTAAAGCTAAGAATGATTCAGCTTGAGATCAGTGACTTATTGCAAAGCAGGAAGAATGTCACAAGATCCCCCTGGAGCCAATAGCCTTTAGCATTCCAATTCTTGTAGAATAGATGTCTGTTGACCAACAACCCCCAGTGCCCAATGAGGAGAAGGCAAGTAAATCCTTTGGGAAGGATCATTCTATAGCAGGATTTGTACATGTAGCTGCCCAAGAAAGCAATATGTGGCACATGGCAGTATTTATGATGATTTGAAATAATTTATCCAGGATGGGTACACTTGGCTAGCACTAGTTTTCAAGTACATGTTGGAGTGTAGATATTGTTTCCCCAGGTGAATGGTAATATTATTGAGTTTGGTAAGATGAAAGTTAAATAAAGCTTGCACTTGTAGCAGATCCTAAAGATACTGTAGATGGAGCACTAGCCACCGAGATATCTCAGCAGCCGCGGTATAATGAACACTTGTAACAAAACAGATGAAATATTTCAGAAGACAGTCCAGTAAGAGAAAGTAGTATAATCCAGTTATAAAAGGTATTAATAATTCAGGAACTTGTTTTGTTTTTTATAAATCATTCTATAGCAGGAAAAAAAAAAAAAAAATCACAACAGATGTTAAGGGAAACTAGGTTAGAATAGGTAAAGAAAAGAGGAAATAAACAGAAAAGCCTAAAGAAAATTGAGTGAGAGAGGAAATGGAGTGAAAGAATGAGGAGAGAGTTTATAAGAGACAAATGACAAGAAAAAAAAAGTATAAAATATGTATAAATTTTTAACGATGTGCTTGAGTTTTGCCAACTTCTTACACTTTTTTTTTTTTTTTTATAGTTATATTAGGAGTTCATCGTAATCCCCCATAGACTTTATTTCTGCAAAGTGTTCTCCCGCAAAGCAGAAATTTAGTTTTCTCAACTGAGGCCAAGATAAATAATGTAACAATGAATAAACAAAAAGGAAAAAAATCCCACAAATGTATATATGCAAATATTTATTACAAATCATAAATAGGGGGTATTTACAAGTAATAAGAGGAATACATTTAAATATATAGTATAAAAATATTTACATAACTGAACATAATATGATTGTATTATAAAATAACTGAGGAAATAAAAGCCCCATAAATGTAAACCGTTGTTCACTAAAAACCAAACTAGACTAAATTTAGCATTTTAGTTTTAATTTTACCACAAACACTGAATTATATTGAAATGAAAATTACAGGCAAATTATTTTATTTACTTGTAATGGTGGGATTTATTCAATTAAATGCATAACAAGTGTAGGGGTTTGGGAACAGGAAACCAGTCTAGCAACTCTAGTCTAGTTAATTTGATTTGTGTAAAGGATGTCCGAAATTTAGCCGCCTCTGCCTCCTTTCTTTGGCATGCCACCTCAGCCAGGATTTACAACCTGCTCATTTGTTCCTCTAGTTCAGTCTCTTGGACTGCATCAAGCACCAGTGGTGGGCTTACAACTTCAGCAGCTCTGGACTGGTTGAAATGTCAACCTGAACTGGCCACCTTCTTCTGTCGTGCACTGCAGGAGATCATGGCCAATCCTGGATAGCAGAGCAAGGGGTGGAAATACTGTATAGGACACTGGCACTGCAGCAATAATGTTCGTGGGGGAGGAGGAAGCAGAGGAGGTTCAACCCTTACTTTTAATTTTGGGTTGTGTGGAGGAATCTTTTTTGTTTCCCTTTTTTTATTGAGGCAGACGAACTTGACCAAAGGTCTTTTTTTCTTTGTTTTTTAATAAAATTTTGTGCAGTTCTTGCCTTCTGGCATTTATGAGCCAGTTAGATATCTGTAAACAGAGAATTGATAGACCTGTCAGTGAGAATAGAAAAACAAATCATATTTCCTTCCAAAAATATACTCACAGTAAACATACCTTAACTTAAAAAGCCCAGGAACGTTCACTCCCTTTCATTCTCTACCATGACTAGCAGAAAAGGGATTTGTGTTAAACACAACCCTTCCCCTGCTCCTCATAAAAACAGTGGTATTGGGTATCTGGTTTTAGGTAAGCACAGGTCTTTTACTCTCTTATGAAGCTACAGGCCATAAAGATACACAGATTTGGCTGTGCCCTAAAACCAGAAATTTGAACATCTTAATTCAATGTAGAGCTAGTGATTGGTTATCTATTAGTTAGAATGGCAAAGATAACCTGATATGCCAACACAATGTACTAGACCCACTAAACGAGGTGTCCATTTATAAAATGTCTTCATACAAGTAGACCTATTACAATTTGAAACACTGAGGGTGTTAGGAGACCCTGGACATGGAGTAGTAATAGCCACTGTAGGGAAAGATTTTAAACATGCACATTTATAGTGTTATTCACTGAAGTGAGAATTCAAAGTGAGATTCAAATTTAGGTCAAAGTATCCAAAACATGAAGCCTTTAATTTGAACTTCACTTTTGATTTAACTTTCAATTCTCACTTTAGTGAACAACGATGTTAGAAATTCAGATCAATCACCATGGAAACACTTTGTTTGGTCACTTGAGTGTGTGTGTTAGACTTGTTGCCTCAGCCAGTTCTACATTATCTTTGACATTTGGGTATGGATGTCTACAATGCAGTTTGAGCCAGTTGTTTAGAATTGTAACTGAATGTTGTGGCAGATTCCTGCAAATTGTTTGGTCACCGTTTTCTACAAAATTTTGTATGTTGCAAATGGCGGCATTCTGAAATATTGGGAGAGAAGATGTTAAGAATTCAAATTCAGTATTTAGTAACTATCCCTCTTAGACTATTTTAAGGAGGCACAGAATGTAAGTTTATCACAGAGTTTCACCGCAACCAAATTCACAGCAATGATGATTTTGTATGTTTAAAAGGACATTAGTCACCAGAACAAATACAGCTTAATGTAGTTGTTCTGGTGAGTATAGTCTGTCCCTGCAGGAAATTTAATGTCAACTCTGCATTTTCAGGGAAAAGGTATTGTTTACATCACTGCCTAGGGACACCTCCAGTGGCCGGCACTGCAATTTAACCCCTTAAGGATGGAGGCAATTGTACAAGTTCTAATCAATTTGACAATATATCTGTTCAATCAAAATTCACCTCTTTCGTATTAAGTGCATCTACACTTTTTTCAGGAGAAACAGGGATTTCATTTCACATCAATATATTCATATTCTATATGAAAAAAAATCTTTAAAAAGTATGCAGAACTTAAAAAAAGCATTTCTTAATTTCTCACGCCATTTTAACTGTGAACGTCATAATACTGTTGGCTTTTACTGCAATAAAATACACCCATTTTTATTCAACGATCTCACAGGTACAACAGTACACTCCTGTTTACATTTTTTTGGGGGGGGAGAGAAAAGAAGGTCAAATATACCATGTTCCATTTTATAAACTGACATTTTTTAGACTGTTTATGTTGCCTTTGAGACAATATGGTAGCATAGGAATGAGAAAAACCCCACTCATGGCATACCATTTGTAAAAGTAGACAACCCAATGTATTCAATATTGGGTATGACTATTCTTTAATAACCACTAAGTCACCAACACTAGCCAAAATTAGTGTTCATATTTGTTTATGTGTGCAAAATGCAAACAAACATATAAAATGGTAGTTTTGGTCAGTGTTTGTGACTAAGAAAAAAAAAACAACAAAAAAAAAACTGGACATGCCCCTTTTGCAATACTTTGGGCTGTCTACCTTTGCAAATAGTATGCCATCATCTGGGTAATTCTCATTCCTGGGCTACCATACGGTCTCATAGAACATAACCAACCTTGCAAATTTCAATGTGAAAAAACTGAAATTGGCAAGCTTTATATTTGACACTAACTTTCGAAAAAACTGTAAAGAACTATTATACTCAAGAGACTTCACTGAACACATGCTTTACTGTGTTGAAACACTAATATTTATCACAGCAATGATACCAGTAAATGACTGTTGCATTTTTCACAATATCATCGTTGTGATACATACGTATTATGGTTTAAAAACACCAATATTTGTATTCAGCAAAGTCTCCTGAGTATAATAGTACTCCTCAGGTGCAGGCTTTATGGTGTCTTGGAAAGGTGCAGGATAAAATCTAGGGTTTGCAAATTAAATTCTCTGGACTTTCTGCCTGGATTGTCAGGCAGGTCCCTCAAATTGTAATCAATAAAGCTACGTAATTATGTACAAATATCATATATACACCTCTGACGTTCGAGTTCAAGTGTTCCTTGTTCTACTTCCAGTTTGCGTGTGTCTGCAGGTTTGCGTCACTTCCGATTCTGGCGTCTGACGTATTGGCTGCACGGCGGAATTCCTCTGTTCTTCGGCGGTCCGGTCTTGGCTTTCCGGCCAAATCATGAGTTACTGCTTTACATACCGGTCCCCACCACACCGCACGGTGGTCTCATCAAGGGACCAGAACGCACATTCAGTAAAATTTTACCGGGGACCACCCACGGTCCCCCATTCACGTCGGCATTTAGGCGGCTCATTGTACACCCGCCTACGGGGTCCAACAGCACCCCCCAACAACAATAAAACAAAAAACAAAAAAACAAACAAAAAAAACAACTTATTTTAAACAGCCAATAAATAAATACATTCGGGGAGTAATCATGCCATTAATAAAATCAGGCTGTTAATAAGAATACTGCATTCTATGTGGGAAAGTTAAGTTAATATAAAGCAAACATATTGTCTACTAAAAATTTCATTCATTCTGTTCATTGTATTAAATCACATACCCAGTTTGGCCTGTCATCGCCACCTAGTGGTTCTTATGGTATTTTCTGTCTTATTCTGTTTAAATTGTATTTCCCCTGCAAAATATTATGCACAACATATGTATTACAAAAACTCTCATTCATACTTTCCATTATATTTTTCGTGTATCAGTTCACAGACCTAGTTTATTGGGCTGACATCGCCACATAGTGGTTTTCATGGTACTTGCCGTTTTATTCTGTATAATATGCAGCTTCCCTGCAACTAAATGACTAATCACACAATGTTATACGATGCCTTAACGTGCAAATTAATCTCAGCCCTGTTAAATAATCTCTTTTGATCTCCACAGATCACACTTTGCCATATTACGGCTTAATTGCTTAAATCCAGGTTTCCATTCTACGCTATTATCCTTAAATCCAGGTTTCCATTCTACGCTAGCACCAACCGTTTTGCTATTTCTATATTTCAAAAACCTGATTCTTGTCCTTTAATCCAGGTATAGTATTTATTTTACTTTAATTTCTGTTTGAGGAAACTCAGGCAGCCAACAATTTTCATTTGTCAACTCACTCTGCGCTCATACGTTACGCCCACTCAGATTTACATCTGTCTCAAAC